TCTTTGTTTGTATGTGGTGCTGAGGATCGAACCCGGGCCACAAGCATGCCAAGCGAGCGTGCTACCGCTTGAGCCACATCCCCAGCCCCTACCTGTATTCTTTATAATTGCCATTTTGACTGGAGTGAGACGGAACCTCAGTGTATTTTTAATTTGCATTTCTCTACTTGCTAGAATGTTGAACATTTTTACTTTTTTTTAAATTTTAAATTTATTTATTTATTCTAATTTGTCATATATGACAGCAGAATGCATTTCAATTCACAGTACCCACAGACAGCACAATTTTTCATGTCTCTGGTTGTACACAAAGTAGAGTCACACCATTTGTGTCTTCATACATGTACTTAGGGTAATGATGTCCATCTCATTCCACCGTCTTTCCTACCTCCAACATTTTTTGACTGTTCATATTTCTTCTTCTATGAAGTGCCTATTCATTTCTTTTGCCCATTTAGTGATTGGGTTATTTATTATTTTGTTGTAAAGTTTTTTGAGTTCTTTGAATCATGTGGAGATGAATGCTCTATCTAAGGTACAGGTGGTAAAGATTTTCTCCCATTCTGTAGGATCTCTACTCACATTCTTGATTGTTTCCAAGAACTGTCTTTCTTTTCAATTTATCTCATCAAGCCTTCATCTGTGGCTTGTGGATATTTACACAATATACAAATGGTGGCATGTTATATCACTTTCCTCCATGATAAATTAAAAGAAAAACCATCTGTTTATTTTGATCCCTCTCCTTTTGAAATGGTGCAAGTGGAATTTGGGAGGTGGCAGGTTAAGCGGGCATCATTTCTCTGTGAACTGCCTGGAGCATCGGTCAGAGAGCTCTTGGTGATGCTGAATGTCACAGTGATGCATCCGGCAGCCACGGTGGCCTTCAGCTTTGCAAAATTAGGGGCGGCTTTCAAAATCCACCAAAGATAGGCCATAAATGGATTCTTCAAACCCTCTGTGACAACCGTGACGGGTGCTACGACAGAGGCCGGATGAATAAGATGGGACCTTTATACTTAGAGACACATAATTGCTGAGGAATCATAATGGAAATCTTGAACAAAACAAAATAAAATAAAACCCCACAGAAATTAGGAGGCTGAAAATGGAAAATACCCAGGTTGGCACAAACATTCAGGGGCTGGAGCATGAGTCTGAGGTTTGAAACGCCCTGCTTGGGGCAGGAAGGGGTGGTGGAGTTCATAGTGATTAAGACTTAATCAAAGTCCCAAAGAGACATTTTTTTCTGCTGCTCAAGTTAGAAAAGAGTGCCAAATAAGGCTAATTCCCGGGGAATCAGAAATAAACTCTTCTCCCTAGAGAAGGGTCTTCTCTTACTTGTTGTTTTTTAAAAGCTGAGATTGTGCTGAGAAATGCAACTGTTTGGGAGTTGTTCTGTGGGAGAGTGCAGTGTGTTTGGGGTGTGTTTGCTTTTGGGTGGTACTTTCCCAAGAAGAAGAGTCTGGGGTCCAGAAAGACTCTGGGAACTGGGCTTGGTTCCCCATCATCTTGCAAGTGAGGAATGTGACTTGTACACTGAGCCACCTCTGAGTTTTGCCATAGTAGCACTAGGAATGACGAAGACAATTTGTCACTCGGATATTTATCAGGCATGTCCGCCAAAGGCCAAGTGTTTGCATCTCGTCTCCTCTGCCACCCACAAATCCCACTGTAGCCAGACCCTGGGTCTGGAGAATGGAACGCCTGTGCTGCGTTCCTTTCCCGGGTAGCTGATCAGGGTGCCTGAGGCCTTACCCTGAGAGAGCCGTTGTTTATTGATCTTGAGTAATTCTGGGAGCCTACATTCCAGAGCAGCTTGTCAAAATACTGGTCAAATTAATATGTCATTTGATTACCTCCTCGTGGCTGCCAAAGATTCCATACATTTGATAAAGAAATACAAAATCACAACCTTTCTTTCCCTCTTACCCCTCCACTACCTCCCCACTGGGGTTAGACTCTTTCCACTCTGCTGATTAACCCTGAAACACATAATGCAACTGGTTTCAAAGGGAATTTGGGAGACCTGGGTGCAAACCATGACTGTCACTCAGATCCAGGGGTTGGGTGGCAGCCTGTGGCCTCCATGCAGTGAGATTCAATCTCCTCTCAGATTCTTAAATAACTGGTCCCTTGCATCACTTGGGTAACTGTGCAAACCACTTCTCATTAGGGGTTTCCCTGACTACTTACATCACTCTCTATCCCATTATATTCTGATATTTAGTTGTTGTTATGATTTAATATCTGTTTTTCATCATAGAACTTATT